AAAGCGCAAAAAACGAGGAACGAGCTGAACTGCAAAATTCGGACGAAATGGAGCGGAGGAAGATTTTCGTTCGAATTTTAGAGTTCGTCTGTTTTTTTGGTTCGTTTTTTCGGCGGTGGAACCCCTAAAGTAGAACGGGTACAGCAGCAGTACCAACACCCACCTCCAACGCGCTGATTCCTTCGGTTCGGCTGTCTACATGATACCATCTCCCGGCACCGTACTGCTTCGTGGGTATTGGGTGCTTGGGTGCTGCTCAATAAGGTGTGTGAGAGACGTGTGCCACCTCACCAAAATGCCGTTGGAAAAAATGCGGCGAGATGTTCTGTTTTTGGTCGGACACGTCAACATCAATCCACGGCACCACGCAGCTGAAGAGCAGCAGGGCCTCCGACACGCTAATTCTTTCGGATTGGCCATGTATCTGATGCTGGCCGTCAGCGCGGCTGCCGCCCTATGATTGTTGCGCTCGTCTACCTTTGTGCAGGTGGTGGTCAAAGATGGGAGTCGCAACCGTGGAAAATGAGCTGGCAAACTGAAGAAATCCCAAGCAACACCCAGGTTGCGACACTCTGCCCTGCGCCTGCTGTTGCTGAAGACTGAAAACAGCAGGCCGGGTGGATAGGATCTTTCTAAGTGTGTTGTCCTCTTTGTCGGGTGCTGCTCATTGCGCTTTTACCGCTGCTCTCAAGTGAGCTACACCAACTCAACCTATTGTGTGCCGAGCCAAGCGTGTATTCAGGGAAGGAAACGTACTTTTTGCGATGACATCACGAATAGAACAAGCGAAAAAAAGCCGGGTTTTCTTGTCACCGTTCCGTGGAAAATTCCACTACTTTTCCGAAGCGTTAAGAACCACCCTAAATCGAAAATAAAACGGCCGATGAAGCAAAAGCCTACCAACATACCGGTATAGTCTAGTAACGGTTGAGGGTGTTGACGCGAAAAAAATCGCACCGCGTGTGCCCGTTGGTACATTAGAAATCGGAAATGCTAAATGCGACACCGGTGTCGTAAATCCTTCACCATCTCGATCTCAGCCCAGAGGGCTCCAAATGGCGTAACACTAGATTCGTTGAAAGCCACGACTCTCAGCTATCTCGCAAATTTTGTTTCAGCTACATCTGCCTCGTGGTTGCGGAGATATGGCCGGATACATGTAGTGAAGCCCTCTTTGGAGCTCGAGGGGTCCCCGCACATGCAACCATTTCAAGGTATGCACATGCCCCATCTGCGTGCCCTCTGTTGTTGCCGATAGATCTAGCCAGTCCGTATCCAAACACACGAGTACCTCCCCCGGTTTGCACGCGAATGGCAAAATCTAACGTGGGGCACGGATACCCCTGATCTACCAAAGGGACTCAAAACAACAACAGGCTCAAGGAAAAACCCGGCCAACCGGATCAAAGACCCTCGTCTAACACCCTAAATATAGAAAACCGTCGCTATCACGGAGGATTCCAACGGCCGCACTTCCAAGACAAGACCAAGGCAGGACAGAACCGGTCACGCTGATTACACACCCGAAGCGACGCTTTCGGCGTTTCTAGGCTCCAGCCGCGGGTGACGCGCCGGCACAACGCTTCCTGCGTGACGTACCATCGTCATAGNCGGAGGATTCCAACGGCCGCACTTCCAAGACAAGACCAAGGCAGGACAGAACCGGTCACGCTGATTACACACCCGAAGCGNACACCCGAAGCAGCGCTCTCGGCGTTTCTAGGCTCCAGCCGCGGGTGACGCGTCGGCACAACGCTTCCTGCATGACGTACCATGGTCATATATGCCAAGTGCTAGAACCACCACATAAACCAAACAGAACAAGAGAACACTACATCGGTAGGTTCATCAGAGCCTTCCGGTGGTACTCTAACTTCTCTCTGCCAAGGACCTTGGTCAGCATGTCGGCGTGCTGCTCTCCAGTCGGAACATACTCCGCAGTGATCTTGCCCGACTTGAAAAGCTCGCGAATGAAATGGAACCGCACGTCGATGTGCTTGCTCCTCGCTGAGCTGAACGTTCTCGATTAAGGCGAGAGTCCCCTTGTTGTCGTCAAGGACCTTGATCTTCGCCCCACTGGTCTCGGGCGCTATGAACGACAGAACGCCACGCACAAACAACGCCTCCTTCACGCCCTCCCCGGCTGCCATATACTCTGCTTCCGAGGTCGACTGAGCCGTCACTGGCTGCGTCTTGGTGGATGCACACACTACAGTACCACCTACGGTCACAGCTAGCCCGGTCGTAGAACGCCTGTCTACTTCGTTGTCAGCGTAACTGGGATCGACAAACACGCTTAGGTCTAGTCCTGACCCCCGTACGTAGGTGATGCCGAAGTCCTTCGTGAACTTCAGCTAGGACATGATCCGCACAAGCGCGTTCCATATCCTCCCGGTGGGTGAGTGGGCGATCTTCTGGAGCTTGTTCAGAGGCAGGGCGATGTCTGGCCTCGTCAGCTTCGTCCACATCAGGCATCCGATCGCCTCCCTCACAGGCTTATCCACCGCGGGCTCGTCATCTCTCTTCGGCCCTAGGTCGGCATCGGTGGCAGCAGGGATGAGAGCGGTCGTGGTCACATCAAACCGCTTCAGCATACTCTCAATGCATGCTGTCTGGGACAGCTTGGGGATGCTATTTTCTACATCCATGGCGATAGCACACCGGTCGTACCAGGTACACTCCCCCAGATCTTTCACAGAAAACCTCTTGTTGAGGGAAGCGAACAACTCTTCTCGCTCTCCCTCGTCTGCCGCCACTAAGATGTCATCAACGTAGATCACGATGAGACCTACGACCTCTCCATCCACCACCTTCCGGAAGACACACGGGTCAAACCTGCACTGCTCGTATGCATTCTCCATGAGGGCATCGGCAGCTTCAAACCCCCACTCACGGCCACTCTGCTTTAGGCCATACAGGGCACGCTCAACCTTGACCACCTTGCCGGACATGCTACCACAGCCTTCCGGGAACCTGAGGTATATTTCTTCTTTTAGCTTAGCGTGGATGTACGCTTGCTTCACATCCCATTGAGCGAGTTTCTTGCCCTTTTCAGTGGCTACGGCAATCACCGTCTTGATAGACGCTGCAGACGGGCACGCTGAGGATGATTTGTGAAAGTCGATGCCGGGGATTTGAGAGAAACCCCGCGCAACCATACGGGCCTTGAAGTCGACTATCAGGCCGTTCTCATTCGTCTTCCAATNGGCAATCACCGTCTTGATAGACGCTGCAGACGGGCACGCTGAGGATGATTTGTGAAAGTCGATGCCGGGGATTTGAGAGAAACCCCGCGCAACCATACGGGCCTTGAAGTCGACTATCAGGCCGTTCTCATTCGTCTTCCAATAGAACACCCACTTTGAACCTATGGCCTTCCGCCCCTCGGGCAGCTCCTTGACCTTGGTAAAGGTTCCAGTCTTGTCGTGGCCATCTATCTCTTTCTTCATGGCCGCCTCCCAGAAAACCTTGTACTTGGAACACATCACATCCTTGTACGTCATCGGTACTGCTTCCACATCACTCGGCTTCTGCCCGATTGGCGAGGTCATACTTAGCTGTGGGTCTGGGAGTGGTTGCGAAGACCCGCTGGCGTCGACCTCGGCCCCGAACGCCTGCTGTTCCGGGCCCAACACCTCCTGCATCTCGCGCCTGTGCATCTCCATACGATGTGTCTGCTCCTCGTCCCACTGCTCCTTCACAAGCGAGTTGCAGATGTAGTCCTCAACAATCCCCGTCCCGCCAGTTTCTAGGATGGTCGCCAGCAATGCCTCTTCCGGGTCCGGTGTTTCTCCGGGCCCCGGCACCTCCCCGGCACCTTGCATCTCCCGGGTCTTCTTCCACGTACGGCCACTCTCAAGCCCATGTCGCAGCGGGCCAGCGTTCGAGGCGCCCCAGAGGAGTTTCTTCCCTTCTAGCCCGCGGGGGTAGCGGTCGTCGGCTGGATCATACTTCAACTCCTCGAGGTTCTCGAAGTCGCCGGGATCACCACCACTACCACCGTCCCCACCTGGGTCGCCGGACTCTTTGCCGCCCGGGCGCGCCGGCACCGCCAGCGTCACTGCTGGTGCTGCTCGAGCTGCTGCTGCTGCTGCTGTCGGTGGGGCTGTCACTACCTCCGCCGAAGTCGCCCCTTCCCGAAGGGGGCGACGGGGGGACGCTGCCTCCGTCCCCCGGAATCCCGTTGCCGGGTGCCGTCGGTGCCGCCTCGCGCACAAACGGCGTCGCTTGCCCTGGCCCACGAGCCTCCATCAAGTCGAGGTCGGACTCACTCTTTGGGTCTCTCTCCCCCCCCCAACCTTGGCGTGATGCATCCGCTCTGCTCTCGCCATCCCTGCCCTCCTCGTCATCTGCANACCTCCGCCGAAGTCGCCCCTTCCCGAAGGGGGCGACGGGGGGACGCTGCCTCCGTCCCCCGGAATCCCGTTGCCGGGTGCCGTCGGTGCCGCCTCGCGCACAAACGGCGTCGCTTGCCCTGGCCCACGAGCCTCCATCAAGTCGAGGTCGGACTCACTCTTTGGGTCTCTCTCCCCCCCCCAACCTTGGCGTGATGCATCCGCTCTGCTCTCGCCATCCCTGCCCTCCTCGTCATCTGCAAGAGGTAGCAGTGCGCGTGTGCTCGTGCTCTTCTGGACGGGTTTCACCTGTCCCTCGGACATCGAACAGCCAAGACAGGGTAGCAGCGGTCCATCCGTCAGCTGCACGACCTGCAGCTCCGCCGTGATCCTGAGCGATGTATCGTGGGCATGGCCGTGCGCGAGGTGGTACTCGTTGAGGTTAGTGGGGGTGGCTGCTTTCGCATCGCCAGGAACAATGAGTGCGGCACAGGCCGTGTGTAGCGTTGGCTTTATTTGATAGCCTCGTTGGGTCAGCAGTTTCCCAGTCGGGGGAACCACACCTCCCCCCCGGCTTTCGTGGTCAGCGTGAGGCCCCTCTTCAACCCCGAATACGTGTGGCCCTCCTCCGCCGACGAAGACAGCGAGAGGAGGTTGTAGGCGGCCTCTGGTACATGGGCAGCTTTCAGTACTGGTACGGGTACTCCACCATACTCCGTCTGAAGGACTAAGGTCACATCTCCGTGGCCTAGAAGAGGAACGGGGGCCTTGTTGCCTCCGATCCCCTTCACCCAACCGCTACGCTCATGGTAGTTCACGAAGTTGTCTGCACATCGGAACACGGAGCACGTGGCCGCTGTGTCGGCCACGTACACCGCCTGGCCACGTACACCGCCTGGCCGTGTTCCACAACCCGCACTAGACCTACTTCACCAACGGTACCACACTCGCCTGGGGGGACTGCCACGGCACAAAACGCCTGGTCTTCCACGGAGTCCACGTCGCTCTCATGCTCCACCTCTTGCGCTAGGACGACCTCCTCCGTCGCGCACTTTCCTTTGGTGTGGCCCCACCCCTCGCAGCGCGCACACCACGGCACGAAGTCCTTCTCGTTGGTAGTGCAGCCGATCGCTTGATGTCCACACCTAAAGCACCGGCCCGGGCACTTATAGTCCCCGCCACCGCCGCCATCGGCACCTCCACTGCTGCTTCCCTTCCTCTCCTCGACTCCTCCGGATCCGCCTGAGCGGCCGCCGCGACCGCCGCCGCCGCGGCCACGACTGTTGCTGCGGCCACGGCCGCCGCCACGACCACGACCTTACCCCTGACTCCTACTTGAGTACCGCTCCNGACCTGTCTCTTATACACATCTAGATGTGTATAAGAGACTTCCCTTGCTCTCCTCGACTCCTCCGGATCCGCCTGAGCGGCCGCCGCGACCGCCTCCGCCGCGGCCACGACTGTTGCTGCGGCCACGGCCGCCGCCACGACCACGACCTTACCCCTGACTCCTACTTGAGTACCGCTCCTTGCGGCCCTCACCATCGGCGAAGTACGCTTGCTCTGCGCCCTTCGCCCCTTTTCCTTTCCCCTGCTCTAGCTTGTCCTTGATCGCCTTGTATTCGCTCATTACTTCCTTTAGCACACCGGTCCGCGTCAACTCCCTCGCGTGTCGCAGGTTGTGCTTTGTCAGGGCATACTCGTCCGAAAGGGCATCCAGGAAGAGGTGAAGGACGAATGTTTCGTTGACAGTTAGTCCTTTCTCGGTTAAGGACTTTGCGGTTTGGAGCACCTTATTTACGGCGTTTTGGGGGTTTTCACCTCTAGAGATCTTGGTCGACGTCAGGGACTTGAGGTCCTCTGACGGCTGTACAGATGATTCAGGGTCGTGTATTGTCTTGAGCTCACGAAGAGCTCCCTGGGGCGTCTCTGCCCTCTTCATGATTTTCCGATCTTATCTTTCAACGCGTGAGACAGGAAGTTCCACGCGTGGAATGCGAGCTCTACTTGCTCCGGTACTGCTGTGACAGCTCTTTCAACTGTTGACGGGGATTTCCAAGCTCCCGCTCTCTTCAAATTGTTCCAACAGGTTTGCGCCATTAGCTGCCATGCGGAAATCATTTAGCCATTCGTTGAAAGCACTCGATTTCCCGCTGAACGGAGGAGAATTGTACCGAACACTTTGGTACCCCGTCGCTGGGGTTGTGGCTCCGTATCCAAAGCCAACAGCAGCACAACCATCTCCCATGGCACTACTTTAATCTTGCTTTTGAGCAGCGGCTTCTCTCACCTCTTGGGGGACAAAGCCCCCTGCTTCGCCGCTGTGTCGCCCTGACGGGGCCAGACTCTCGAACAGGTTCGCGCAGGTACCTCCCGTCCTGCGCACTTCCGGTCCACGGTGCCCCTCCTTCAGCGTTCGTGGACTCCGCGGCGGGNGTACCCCGTCGCTGGGGTTGTGGCTCCGTATCCAAAGCCAACAGCAGCACAACCATCTCCCATGGCACTACTTTAATCTTGCTTTTGAGCAGCGGCTTCTCTCACCTCTTGGGGGACAAAGCCCCCTGCTTCGCCGCTGTGTCGCCCTGACGGGGCCAGACTCTCGAACAGGTTCGCGCAGGTACCTCCCGTCCTGCGCACTTCCGGTCCACGGTGCCCCTCCTTCAGCGTTCGTGGACTCCGCGGCGGGGCTCTCCCTAGCATCGCCGCGATCAGCGGCACCCTCCATGGTGCCAGCTGGCTCCTCCTTCTTGCTTGTCTTCATGGCTTCTTCCACTAGCGACAATAGATGGCTCATCTGATCCGTCGGCGAGCAAACTTGCGTCCTCAGGGCCACGAGCTCTTCTCTTGACCTCTTTCTGTCTTCCGCCGCAGAGTCGCTGGAGGAGTCACCCCCATCTTTGCGACCTGACATCCTAATGAACTCTCCCTCGAGGGACTGACACTAGTGTGTTCGTATACGTCCTTTACTTGGAAGGGGAAGACGTTTTTTCTCTTGTATTAGACACGCAAGGGGAGTAGGGAGAAGTGAAGCCCTCTTTGGAGTTGGAGGGGTCCCCGCACATGTAACCATTTCAAGGTGTGCATATGCCCCATCTGCGTGCCCTCTGTTGTTGCCGATAGATCTAGCCAGTCCGTATCCAAACACACGAACATTTGTAGAGACTGTAGTGCTTGATGTTGATGTTTAGATGCTTGTTATCTCACACCCGGTTGGGGGGAAAGAGCAGGGAGTGCCACGAACACAACAGCTGACAGCAGCTGGCGGGGGAGCTCCGCACAATCATTCTCTTGCCGTACTACCCAACGCATACCTATGTGCGGGGCACCTGAAACAGTCATCTCGTCTACAGATCCGACTACATACGCACTCACACGAACACCCTCTCTGGTTCTTCACGCAAAAGTATCTAACCACTTCTGTGGGATTCGTGCTCCCGCCACCTCAAGTCAGGTTTTTTCTGCAAAAGCAACAAATCAATAAAAACCTAAGGGGAAACCCGGCCACCGGGTCAAAACCCCTCCCTCCCAAGGATGATACTACGAAAAAGTAAGATAAAGACGCAAACAGGATAACTCCGACAACGTGATCGATCCGGGTAACCTTCTCGCCATGTTTCAATATCACCTTCTTCCTAGTACCCAACAAAGTCCAAAACGTCTGCAGCCACCGCTACGAGTTTACTCCCACAAAGCCCGAACAAAAGTCCGTTGCAATTTACTCCTACTGCCCTCCCGGCTCGACGAACACTTATCTATGATCTGAGCACCTAACTTCCTCCCTCCCCCTTGATTCCGGCTCTTCGCGGCGCCCCCGAGGTTGATGGTGTATGCTATCATCCTAGGACAGCTGTTTTGTCAAACACACCAAGCATGATAAGCCTTCTTGCATACAACTCTTACTCCGACTCTCAGGAACAACAAAAACTTCAATTCTCAATCACCATATACAGCACGCGTCGATGTGGTTCTCCCTTACTCGAAAGGAACTGCAGGCCGTTCTGTCATGCAATATTCTCCCTCACTCTGCGCTCGCTGCAAGGGGTACACCACACAAAACACCTCTCTCATCCTACACTCGCGGGAAACACTCCGGACGGTCTACAAGCATGTATCGAGAACTCATCATCGCTGGGGCTTCTCCCCTCCTACATGACAAACAAGCACAGTGATCCTTATCATGGGGCTTCTCCCCTCCTACAAGACACACACTGCTGTCATGCAAAACAACAGTGATTCTTATCATTGAGCTTCTCCCCTTCTACACGACACACACTGCTGACATAGTTATTGGATACGCCTTGCTGCTGCAAATCCCTCAATAAGGCGAATACATCTGGTATGGGTTCACACCGGCAGCAACCAACGGGAATGTCACGATCAACAGTGTCCTCCCTTCCCCATTTCCGCCCCATCCTGCACAAGGTGCCACTTCTGGTACATGTGTCCACACCTACCTATAGCAACAACGGAAATGTCACCTACAACGGTGTCCTCCCCTCCCCCTTCCAACTCATACTGCACAAGGTGGCACATCTGGTACATGGGTCCACACCCACCTGTAGCAACAACGGAAATAAATGTCATCTACAACAGTGTCCTCCCCATCCCCATTTCCACCTCATGCTGACAGCTGCACAATTTTAACTGCGCTGCTATCTGCAACTTCGATACACCGGTCCTGTGTACCCCTTTTTTGGCCGACACGCTGGATACTGTTTTACCCCTGTGCGTGGGTTTTCAATCGGCTTTGATACACCTAGTCCTTTGTACCCCTTCTCTTCAGCCGACACGCGGGATACTGTTTTACCCCTGGGCATGAGTATTCAATCGGCTTTGTTACACCTGGTCCTGTGTACCCCTTCATTTCAGCCGACACGCTAGATACTGTTTTAACTCTGTGCGTGAATCTTTCATCGACTGCGGGGAGCGTTTGTGCTGCATCCTCTCATTTGATACACCTGGTCCTGTGTATCCCTTCTGTTCAACCGACACGCTAGATACTAGTTGATCTCTGTTCTTGAATTTTCATCGGTTGTGGGGAGCGCCTATGCTGCATCCCCTGTTACGCCTGGTCCCGCGTACCCCTTTCATTCTGCCCCAGACAATGTTTTCATCGCCCGCGGACATCATGAAATGGAAGCGCCTGTGCCGCGAATCCCCATCGTAGAGTGACTGGTTTTCGGAGCCGAATTACCATCGTCGAACGAAACACCCGCGATAACACGCCTGGACTTTACCATCGAAGAAGGCGAACTACAATTGCTCAAAAAAACACCCACACTCAAGATTGGAAACGCCTGAACCGCAAATCCCCTTTCGAAGATCATCATTGGTCGTATCATCGTAAGCGGAGCTACCATCACTCTACGAACACCAAATCAGAAAATGGAAACGCCTTAACCGCGAATCCCATGTAGAAAAATTCGATATCATTCGTCACGAGCATAATCATTCATTATTACTCACGAATCTCAACCAGAAAGAAGCGCCCCGCGGCAACAACGCGTTGTTGTTGGCCCTCGTTCAAAAGCACAGCAGATTTCGCGGTCTCGCCCTTGCTCCTCTGCGGCAATTCCACGTTCACCAGAATCGCCGTGGCTGCAATCCTCCAGTTCTCCAGCGCGTACTTTTCTCGCGATGAGCAGGCTCGTGTGCTGTGCCGCCCGCTACTCCACCGCCGACACCACCACCCCTCTGCTGCCTTGTCATTGGGCCGGTCCCTAACGCCCGCACCGGTTCACCTTCCGTGCCAGATCTACTGCTGTTCTCTCTTTCAGCGGCGTCATATGTTCTAACGCCAGCCGCAGCGTGCAGCTCCGATAGGCAGCTGCCTGGCGGCGAGATTCCGACAATCCCACCGCAAGATGCGGCATGTCTTCCAGCACCGCCTGGTCCCCCTCGGCTTCCCCAATCTGGCATTGCCTGCAGCAGCGATGAAATCTGGTCCATCACCCCCTGCATCCAAAATCCCTGCGCAATGCTTTCCAGCGGTGGGCCAGCGGATGGGTGGCCCGGGGGACCTACTCCCCCGACTCCACCGGGTGGCACCCCAAACCGTGTGCCCGGCGCGGCTCCTCCGCGCCCTGCGGCGTTGCCAGCGCCGCTTGACTCCGCCTCTTCTGCCCCCGCCGCCCTGGCAGGCGGCATCTGAAGTTACCCTAGCTTCTCCATGACAGCCGACAGCACCTTGCTCTGCTCCTCCAGCCTCTTGGACAGCTTCGTCATGCGCGTGTCGATCGTGGTTCCGCCGCTATCGCTCGCTGGGGTATCGCCAGACATTATCTCTGCAAAGGGGTTCCTTCGAAGGAAAACTCTAGAATATTCGTCAACCCTAAGTGGTATGCCCTTGTTGTCTTTGTAGACTGTAGTGCTTGATGTTTAGATGCTTGTTATCTCTCACACCCGGTTGGGGGGAAAGAGCAGGGAGTGCCACGCACACGACAGCTGACAGCAGCTGGCGTGGGAGCTCCGCACAATCGTTCTCTGGTNGCGCGTGTCGATCGTGGTTCCGCCGCTATCGCTCGCTGGGGTATCGCCAGACATTATCTCTGCAAAGGGGTTCCTTCGAAGGAAAACTCTAGAATATTCGTCAACCCTAAGTGGTATGCCCTTGTTGTCTTTGTAGACTGTAGTGCTTGATGTTTAGATGCTTGTTATCTCTCACACCCGGTTGGGGGGAAAGAGCAGGGAGTGCCACGCACACGACAGCTGACAGCAGCTGGCGTGGGAGCTCCGCACAATCGTTCTCTGGTCGTACTACCCAACGCATACCTATGTGCGGGGCACCTGAAACAGTCATCTCGTCTACAGATCCGACTACATACGCACTCACGAACAATAACTTGTGGCGCATTGAACGAGACGGCGTTCTGTTGATGCCAAAGCTTTTGCGTGTTCTTCCGAAGACGGACGGGTCTATGATTGCTGGATGTATTTTCCGAAAGCGCAACGCGCCCTGGGTTTCTTCTGGTACTGCGCGGGCTGTCGCACCTGTCAGGACCTACCTACCTCTGTCTGAAATGCCAAAGAAGATGAAGGAATGAACGGTTGTTGTTTCACCTGCTTGACAGGACCACCAAAAGCACGACAGGCAGGTGGTGACGGAGCATACCAACTTCCGACACGCACGACGAGATATGTGTAGGTCAGAACAAAATACCAATTTCCCAGTAATAACGAAGACGCGGTAGCTTATTCCGTTCGGTCCTCCTCCAGAGGGCTGAACGAAGAAAGAGCCTGTGAGCTCTTCCAGCCAAAGGGGAAGGTCACCGGAAAAAAAAAAAGAAAGCATCGCCAGCCTCAACCTGATTCGTCATCACATTGTCGTGTTTCTCTTGCTTGGGTCGGTAGCCTCTCGCAATTACTTGTCGTCATGTATCTGATCACAGTAAGACAAACAGAGGGAAAATATACGGGAAGAGGCCGCATTGATTTTCGTGACACACGAGAAGACACACGGGTGTCGACCACGTGCACGTGTTTTAGTACCCCATCCTGTAGCACCCCCCCTCCCCTTGGATGAGAGCCCGCCCCGTCTGATGGCTGGGCGCACCCGTAGTCCGGGGGAGGTTCGACGGCTAACAATACCCCCGTTCCCCCACATGCCTTTGGTCCCGATAGTACGGCGTTTAGGACAACCGAGCAGCGCGAGACGTTCACCCAGTCGGTCGGGAGGATCGATATGTCAACCTTCCGGCAGCAGCCAGACCTCAGGTACGCCTCGGGATCTTTCGCTGATGAAGCTACCCCGTAACGGCTTGCGAATCACATGACGCACTCCCTTTTTTGCTACGCCCCCCTATTTGATTCCTTCACTCTGTCGATATTGACCGCGTTGCCAATCATCACAACCCGGCCACCATCGCGCACCAGGACTACGCTCTGGGTGCCGCTTCGTCCGGTAGCGTCGCACCTTGAAGACCCCTTCGGAGCCGTCAAGATTGCGGCGACCTACCACTCGAAAGACTGCGTGCCCCAAGGGTAAGCGGTGGGCACCATAGGCAGGCCTGTTTTGGCGCCAGCTGGAGAATATTGATTTATTTGATTGTGTTGCTTCCTTTGAACGATCATGATGTGTATTCCGTGGGTTGCACATGACGCCCTATCCCCTGGACCAGAACTCAAGCCTCTCTATTGTTCAACAACAGAGAGGATGCCGAAATCAAATGATCTCGTTTCGGAGAGAGCTCTCGGCAAGACTTTTCCAACGCCGCCAATTCCGGAATCGTCACTACTGTCGTTCCTGCCGAGTGATGGAGCTTTTGACGTCGGTCCAAGCGGGGGGGGGGGGATATCTTAGTATGCAACCACAACACGCTCGGTATTCTTTGGCACCTACAATAGTCAGAAAAAACGTATTTTGTCTCGGCGTACGTCATTCCCCACCAAACAAGCCGCAGTGAAAACATGAAATAATACCACCGTCGTGTTAATGCGATATGTCGTGGGGAATTTTCTGAAACTGTCGTCCTCGTCAACCTTCTGACGATCGCAACTCGTTTCTTCCAACGACTAGGTGGCGCTCAAACAAAGGTGAATGCCGAGACAAGACTTCCAAGATCCCTCCAGTGTGCTTGCTCAACGACTCTATCTCACTTGTTGCCCCTTGTTACTTCCCCTCCATTTTTTTGTTGAACAGATACCTGTTCGCGCTGTTCTGTGGCCTGGTTCCCCTATCGTGGATGGACACTCTCGCTACCGCGTTCTCATCCTGTGACGACAATCTGAGTAGCAAGACCAGCGATCGGATCTGGTCTCCCAAGGTATCCTCGTCAAGGAAGGCCAAACGACCCTCAGACGCTGCTGCCGACAGCAGACTCAAGTCGTCATCGAACGACACCAAGATGCCGGCCTCGGTGACTCCCACGACATCATCTCCCGCGGTGGCGGCATGAACCACCCTCCTTGCGTACAGAAATGGGAAAATTATTGGGGGCTGCTTGAGATTCTCATTCGTGTGTTTGGTCGTCGGTGACCTGCGGAACCCTTGCGCTTGGCTGCACTTCTCGCTCTGTTTCAATATGTGGTTGTTCAATGCTTCGAAGCACAGGAGTATTTTCGGTCGTTTCCGGCGCCCATCCTTTCAGAATTTCCCGTACCTTTTGAGCGTTCGTGGCCTGTCTTGTTCCTCATGGTGTTTCCTGGTCGAGTATGTAAGTCGTTTCACTACCCTCACACCCTCCAGAGCTCATTCGTGTGACGCTACCATGCAGCGCCGATGCATGCTGAAATAAGCGGTTAGCGTGCACGTTTATCTCGGTTTTCTGAAATCGAGATCTACAGGCGGTCATCTACCAAGCTTCTGGAGTGGTTAATGTTCATGGATTTCTTAGTCTACTACTTGCAGCCTCGTGAGAAATATAGTGTTCCCTATCGCTATGCACATGAGGGTCTATCTTCATAGTTTCGCGATCTTTTTGATGCATGGTTTTACACTCCTTAACTTGTCGGGTAATGCCCGACCCAGAGGGTGGTCGGGCGTGTCGTATGTTACATATCGCACCAGGTTTGGATTGGTTGACATAGTGGTGGGAGTGCCTTGCGTATGGCGTAATAGCGGTGATGGTAGGCATTAGTCGGTCGGGGAGGTATAGGTCGGGTGGGAGGAGTGATGTCGGGCGTGTCGTATGCCACACATCGCACCAGGTTCGGTTTGGTTGATAACGTGGAAGGAGTGCCCTGCGCATGCGTAAAAGCGGTGATGGTAGGAATAGGTCGGGCGGGGAGGTGTACGCCGGGCGGGAGGAAGGATATCGGGCGTGTCGTATGCTACACATCACACCAGTGTTTTACGTATGGCGTAAAAGCGGTGATCGTAGGCATATGTCTGTGGGGAGGTATCGGTCGGGCGGAGGGAGGGAGATAGTTTGTGTGGGAGAGTGGTTCCGATATATTTCATCACAAGGTCACTCTGCCGTAGTACCAGCTTCAGCTCTACGCATCATTCACATTTCCGGCTTCCCAACCCTATTGTAGCATTCGCACCCTCCATCGTTTGAGTGCAATGCCTATGTGGCCTTTGGTGTCCGTGGTGGCACCTTGTTCATTTTTTAGCGTGAGCTTGCTTGCTTATTTGGGCTTGCTTGTGATCTTCTTTTTCGGTTAATTCTTCGGCCAACGACGAGCTCGCGATTATTGGTGATTTTTTATTCTTTCCACAAACAAAGCCGTGTTTTGTTGGGAATCGAATGTGGTTTAGATGTAACTCTCGAAGTTGTGTGGAATGTGGAAGGAACATGGTTATCAACATCTAACGTTTGGATTTGAGCCTGCATTGGTGTCTCGGTGGGGTGGGCTTTCTCAGTTATGGGTAGGTTTGGTGCCGTTGTTGTGTGAAAGGGGCAGCTTCCGGTTTGCAGATCTGGTTGGTTGTCGATATCGAGGGCAGGCGCGGTGAAGAGGAGCGGAGCTGAAGAGCGGGGGAGTGATATCGGGGAGAAGGGTGACGTTATTCGGCGAGGTAGGCCGTCTCATCCTCACAGAGTTTAGCAGGGGAGGTAGATACCCCGAGTGGTTTTACGCGGCAGTTCTTTGTTACGGCTACGGAATGAATGTGTTGCATTTAGTTTCTTGTCTGTTTGATGCGTTTTCGTAGTGTATGGTATCACATACAGTCAATGTCGCTGGCTGTTCTCAGCAAAGTTGTTTAATACAGTAAGTGGAATGACGTTCATGCGTCCGATTTCCCTGTGAAGTTACAGGACGTGAAACCAACTGCATGACGTGTTGAAACAACATGGCAGTTTTTTTTTCCCATTCCGTGTGGACGTCGTCTAGCTTGACATTTCTCGTTGCCGTTCATTTCTAGACGCACCCCAAACGGAGTGTTTCTCCGTCTTCCTTCTTCAGTGCATGCCTCACACAATTATCATCGCGAGAATGATTCAGCCGTCCGTTTCCCTCGTCGACCGTGACCTCGTAGTGTGCAAACACACGAAAGATGTCGCCCTTTGTCGTTGAGATCTGCTCGCTGAACGATCGCTGAGCTGCGGAGGGGGAAAAAATACATTGATATGCTCTGATTGGGCTGTTGCTCTTACCGCGTGGCACGACATCTGGTCGGAGAAGTCATTTTGCTCTTGCTGCACGGTACGCCACCACGCCAGAAAGAGAAGGTGTGTAAATATCACACCGTGGAACGCTACATTCGACTATATATTTGCTATCCTCACGTGTCACGTTTGTCTCTCTCTTTCAACGGGAAAGGGACGCCCGGCGTACGTCTCTGTGGAAGAAACCATGTTCTTGCCCATCACAAGGATCGTCGACGTGGAACTGAGGTGCATAGACACACACAACGAACAACTCATGTTTTTTATACTCCTGGCTCTGTAGGGAGTATGACGGAGCCAAACTCTTGATGGTGTAGCTTGATCGTTAGACAAAGGGCAGGCAAACTT